TTTAGCAAACAATATGTGGTCACTTATTATTTTACATTTTTACACGTATAATGTTATAAATAATGTTTATGACTGATTGTTTCATTCAATCACTTCATAAGACCTCAATATATCGCCACAGGTACTAATTTTGTGACTCTCAAAGTGATGGTAGCTGTTGACTTGCATTTTATGAATCACCAAGCACCACGGTTTTAGCTAAAAATCTTCTTTACTGCTATAACAAAGAAAAAAGTCACCTTAATCTTGGATGGCCTGAGGGTGAGTAAATTAATAGAATTTTTTCTTTTTTTGGGGGGCGAACTACTAAATATCACATACTGAATTCTACCACACATTTGGCTGATGCAGATTTATAATCTTATAAAATTATACATTATATTCTTAATTCAAATATATTAAATATATTACTTATTAATATTTTATTTTATTATTGATATTTATATATTCTTTCCTTAAAAAGGAACTGTGTCCACAGCTACATGTATAGCAATACAGAATCCCCATGGGGTATATGTGTCCCCCACATTGGGTATCACTATTCTGATAGATACCAACACAGAAAAAGTCATCAGAAAGGATGTAAAAAATCCTCCACAGATCCATCCTTCAGCCCACAGAATGGGAGGCTCTTGTGCTTTGTGCCTGTGACAAGAGGAAGAAGTTTCTGAAAACAAGCCCCAGTCTGTGTCTGGCAGAGCAGCTGCTCTCAGACTGTTTATGGCTGTGCTGCCATGGAGGCTCACAGTGTGAAAGTCGACAGTTCACGCTGAATTAATTATTCATTTGGAGGAACCTTATTAAAATGCATCTTTTTTTACTCCCTTGAAATATAATTGCAAGTAATAAGCCAAGAGGTCAACGAGGCATTTACAAGCTTGATCTACCGTCATACTATCTCAGCACTATGTTGTTTTAAAAGGCTAAATTAATATGAAGGGGCATGGTGTTTTCTTCATGAACTGTTCAGCGATGAATGATTCCATCATTTTTTGGGTAATTTTCTCCTATCTGCCTGGGTGGCGGAGGAGGTGTATTTGGATCTTATCAAGGAGAATTGAATGTAAGGACGTAGCTTCTATTCATCATTTGATGCATGAATATAGTTTCATATGTCTGGAGCCCCTGAAGCGTTCTCCAAAATGATTCAACGTAAGATTTTTATCCAAGTCAATTTGCATCAGTTTCCCTGTCAGTGAATGGAAATGGCAAAAACTATGTCAGAAGCATTGCTCACACAAAGCCTCCAGATATAATACATACTACAGTTTTTTTCACAGCAGAATCATGTCATGTTGGAATTACTGTAATTACGAGATTCCTGATTGTAAAAAGCGTTCACACAAGCAAACATACCATGCAGTTTAATGTAGCTAGCACATAGTTGAATAACTGTCTAATGTTCCACTAAAAATAACCTATAACATTATTAATAAGCCACTTGCACAATGACTATTATTTGTAGTGCTGTGGCTTTGTCTATTGATTGCTTCAATCATAGAGTTTCATTTTTGCGCTAATAGTGTTGCCATTAAAATACATAATTCTAAGTCAGAGGACATGAACCGCCCCAAGTAGAACGTCCAGAGTTGTCATCTAGTAATTATGGTTATTATAACATGGCGTGAACACAGCATGTCTCCACTTTACTTACAAATTTTAGGATGCCAGTGGTAAGTTTCATCTCTGTATCACGTCTACACTAGAAGGACATCTGGCTCCAAAAGAAGTGGTCCTTTTCCCACATTAGCAATATTTCTTTGCATTATATATATATATATATATATATATATATATATATATATATATATATATATATATATACTGTACATATTAGGGCTGTCAATTCAATGCATTAATATAATGAATTAAAAATAATGCAATTAAAACATTTTAATGCAGTTAATGTACTGGCCTCACCCCAGACCTGTACGTCATCTTACATTTCATACATTTGACTGTTGTCTAGGTGTCTAGATTTAAATTCAAAGAGACAGTATCGATAGTCTATGCATGACCTGACGTTTTATACGTAACCAAAATGAGGAAAAGTGAATATCTGGAGCGCTCAACACTCTCATGCAGTGTATGTTTAATTCATACTCGAAGCCGGAGGGCGCTCTCGTGCAGAAAGTCCAAAACAGACTCCTAGAACGAATGACTTATGACATGAAGGAAACCCTAATATGGACAAAAGCATCCGGCTATCCTGTAGCTGAGCTGATTACAAAGCAGAAAAAAACCTGAAGACAATAAACACACGATTGCGAAAATATACGGTTTATGTGTGTTTTTCAAGTTATCTCCATGTCATAAATAAACTTTATGAATAATGCAGTACTGATTGACATATCATTTAGTAGCCTATAGAAACTATACATTTCCTGCTTTATTCTGTGATAAAAATGGGGAAAAGGTGCTCGTAGTAGCCTTAATAAACCAATCATAAAACTGTCATTAGGAAAATATTGAACAAAAATATTATAGCCCCTTGCAGATGTTTTTTTTTTTAACTCCCAATAATCTGCCTTCTAAAATTGATTTGAAAGGCATTGTCTCTATTTTAACAAGAAATGCTGCCATAATCGAAAAGTAATATAACAATATTTGAAATTTGTATTAATTTCAATGGGGAAAAAAAGTGCCCTTTTGTCAAGGCAATTTATTTTTTTTGGCATTTTGTGAAGGCCTGCCCAATTTAACTATTAGTAAAATTAATGAATATTAATTTAGTAGTAAATAAAATTATCCACATGATGATGACCTTTCACCTGACGATCTCATCAGGGACTATCCCTCACGTTCAGACACCTTTAATGTACGTACCTTACTTCCACAGGCTACAAACAGCAATATAAACAACAGATGTGCATGCTCTCTTCACGCAGTTCTTGTATAATAATAATAATTTAATAATATAAGCATACAAGCACACCGCTCTGCTGAGAACTCTACTTACCGGCAGCCGCGGACGTTATGAAGGCATCCTGGGAGTGCGCTACATTAAAGGTGTCTGAACGAATCGAGTGAACCAATGATTCAATGGTCCATTCATAAAGAGAGCCATTTACTTCATTCCTGAATGAATCAGCCGTTTGAACGAATTGAATGAATGACTCAATGACTTACTCATAAAGACACCTGCTGACATTTTTAGTTTCTTATTTAGAGTATAATTTCATTTAAACATTTTTTTGGTTACCAATGACTTTCACTGTATGAACAAAAAAAAAAAACTTTTACTCTATGTTCCATAGTTTATCTTAGGCCGTTATAGCCTAAATGTGTATGTGTTCTGAATGTTATTTTGAATCAAGTGGTACCACTTTATAATAACTTTCATTAATAAATAATTAACAAACATTAAATAACGCTTAATGAATAATTTGTTAATATATATTCAAAGAGTTAGAAACGTGAGATAATGTGCTTGGTAATGTTTGCTAATAAACTTATTACACATTAGATAATGTTCAAACAAGTCATTATTTCATGTATGGTAAAATGCTTACAAATGTCATTAAACTTTCAATTCCATATGATCAAGCACTTGCGTTATAAATTATGTTATAAAATGATTAAAAGCTTGTGTTAATGCACAACACTTTTGCTGTTATTGAGGTGTGACACGGGTAAGGTTAGGGACAGGTTTGGTGGTATGGGTAGGTTTAAGGGTTGGTTAAGGTGTCAACATTGTACAGGGGTCAATTTGATTATTATAAGGGAACACGGTTCAATCTGTTTATATTATATTGTTTTGATAAATGAACAAGTATTTTCTTTTAAAAAATGATTGGTTTGCCCCTGTTTATTTATGATTCAAGGAATATCCTGTTTAATGATATACTGAAACGTAGTATACTAATGTGAATGTTGAGGTAATAAAAAAAAATTTTTTCACCAAAATTACAATCTGTTATGTCTTTAGCAAGCATTTAGCTAAACTTAACCAGCCACCCTTTACACAAACTTTGTTACATTAGCTAAAAGTCCAATGCCCATAAAGATATTAAATGATTAGTAATTATTTATAAACATTTATTGTGAAATAGTCTCAACTTTAGATTGGCTACTGCAAAGACATGAACAAATGATTAATACATGATTAGTAAAGATGTGTGAATAGGGTACATTCAGGTCTTTCGGGACACTTTTTGCCATTGAGATGACTGCTCATAAAGGTATTAATGATTAGTAAACATTTATAAACATTTGCAAATAATGAATAGTTTCCACTTTAGATTGGGTACCGCAAAAACATGAACAAATAATTAATAGATTATTTGTTAGGATGTGTAAAAATAGGTCAACACAACAAACAAAGACTAAAACAAACAAAGCATTTCAATTTACATTAAATAATCATATGTTAATCATTAGGTAATGTTTAGTAAGTGCATTAGAACACCATCTCATATTTCTAGCTATGTGAATATATATTAAATAATGATCTGTTAAGCATTATATAATGGTTGTTAATGATTTACAAATGAAAGTTATTATAAAGTGTTACCCACATTATTTTGTTTTTTATTATTCATCACACTATTTCCTGCATAAAAAAACTAAATAAAAAACTAAACATTTTGTAGTAGTTTTGGCAAACAACAACAATAATAATAATGATTTGTTTTTACAATTATTATTTATATAATAAAATACACAAATGATACATTATTACTCTATTATTATCTCTATTGTAAACTATACAAATTATACATTAATAATATATATATATATATATATATATATATGTCACAGTCTTCAGCCGGTGTGCCCAGGAGGGCCACCATGTCAGACTGACATTCCTAATTATATAAAATATATAACAAAAAACTTGAAAGTAAAATTCATTCATAAATCTTTCAGATTTACAATGATACAGTCAAACTGAGATGAAGTGATGAACACCGGAATAAAAAGACATTAGAGGATTGTTAGACAATAAATAAGCAAACTAAGAGGCCTATTAGCGCTTCAAACTGAGCTGTGATACTCACAATGTGCAACTGCAGGTAGTCTCCGAGGCCCTGGCTGCTCTCCACCTGCATCAGGATGGCATCACTCTGCTGGGTGCTGAAGCCCACGGCCAATCGGTCCGCCCTGGTGCTTGGCCGATCATTGGGGGCCCAGGTGTACGTGATGAGCGCTCCTCCTCTCCCAAATATATATGTGGTCCCAGCTGCCAAATGAAGGAAGACACATAACATAAGCTACTGATTCAAAGATGTTGCATGAGACAAAGGAATATAAAAATGAACGCGAGTAAGATGTGGAGCAGCACAGCAGGAGGGATGCAACAATATGAGCGTGTGAGGCAAGATGGATGCTAAAGAAGCACCTCACATCACACATTTGCCCTGTGCTCTGCCTCATATGAGATAAAAGCGTCTCTGTCTTTAATAAGTTGCCATCTGTTCTGATGTGCCTTGAATGCTCATTTTCAATGTGTTTCCTTAGTGACAAACGTCATATTCAGGACTGGCATTTTCAGATACAAGCATCCAGCGCTGGTTTGGAGCTGAAATGCCTTATTGGCCTTGAAAAGCAGGGCCCATTTTAGAGCAAACTTCACCAACTTCTTGCCCTCTTGTTGCTCTTATTCTTCGCAACATACTTTGGTGCTAATATTTCACTGCGATTGGACATGGCATCAAATCACAGCGGCTGTATAGAAAAGAGGATCTGAAATGGAGCCAGTGCTGTGTTGCATCAGCTTGGTAAGAAACCACCGCAGGGCGGGATGGATGCTCGACATGCTTTAAACTGCCAAACTATCCGTGCTGAAACAGCCCTAGAGAATGAACCTGGGCAACTGTGTTGACCGATTTGCCAGGGTAAAACGAGAGGTTGTTATGTGAGCTGCCTCACTGTTGAAGTACAATAGCACAGTAATGGGAAAAGGTGAATAAAGTAGAATAAACTAGAAAAACATCAAGAAGGTCCCAGAAACAAGACACACATAAAAAAAAAAAAATAATAATAATGTAGGAAGAAGGTATTTTTGCAATTACAACTGATCCTAATGAATTTCTTTTAAAGGCAGGGTAGGTGATCTGGTTAAAAAACTTTTTTTGTTTTGTTATGCTGGTTGACAGTCTCTTCACATCCCGACAGCAATCACTAAGTTAAGGGGTCTAAATGTATTTATATGTATTTATATAGTTTGTGTAAGTTGTAGGACCATAAAATGTTCGTCCAATCAGATTCCTCGGTCTGAGGACTACGATAGCCTGTCCTGTCTGCCTGTTGACGTATGTATTTGCATATCTCTGCGCACCCTGTTCACGCAGACATGATCAGCACGCGTGCCATTGCCATTGGCGCGTGAGAATGGAAGGCGTTATTATTGTAATATTATGCGCTTTGTACTGTAATGTTTTCTCACCAGTGAAAGAGAAGTGAGGTATTCTGACAGCATTGCATTCAAACCTCATAGGGTTAGCCGGTTAGCCTCTGGTCTGGTCTGTTCATGTGTTTTGGAGGAGGTGAGGCTTTGGAGAGTGATTTGCAGGGAAGTTGGGATCTTATGATTTCATTAATTTCATATCTTTAATTTCTTGCTATTGGTAACCTCTCTGATATTGCCTACCCTACCTTTAAAGGGGTCATATGATGCTGCTAAAAAGAACATTATTTTGTGTATTCGGTGTAATGAAATGTGTTTATGCGGTTTAAAGTTTAAAAAACACATTATTTTCCACATACTGTACATTATTGTTTCTCCTCTATGCCCCACCTTTTTGAAACGCATCGATTTTTACAAAGCTCATCGTGAAAAGCGAGGTGTGCTGTGATTGGCCAGCTATCCAGTGCGTTGCGGCTAGAGTGAGCTGAGGCGGCGGGGTCGAGAATGGCACCCCGGCGGATCCGACGAATGAGTGGCAACCACATGTGACGACCCCGGGCTGATGTATTCCCTCAGCGATGACAAGAACTTCTATAAAAATATATAATACAATATATCCATAAACACAGGTGTCCCTACACTTTCAGAAAAAAGGTACAAAAGTATCCCAAATACTTTCCATCTTAATGGTGCACTTTTGTTCGTTTTGCCTATTGCTAGTCATCCCAGTGGTCAGGGTTTTATATTCACATGTTGGCCAGCTACATACACCAAATGAAATGGATGTTCTTAGACTCAATGGCAACAAAGTTTTGTGAATTGTTGGTGGTTTGTACTGGCTCACAGGGACTGGATCCTGCATTGCGGTGGCTTTCTTTCTGGACTTCATCCTGGACTGTGTTATACACTTTCAATGTTTTTATTTGTCTTTATTATGCATTTTGTTTTTGCTGTTATTTTGTTATGCTTATTTTTTTCTAGATTAACTTTTGTGTTTGTTTCATAAAAAAAGTGCAATATAAAGTACAATTTAAAATGAATGCATTTCATATTTAATTTTAGATTGCACTTTTTCAACAAATTGAGTAAAACATCCAAATATATATATTTTTCTAAATATATAATGAATATAAAAATACTATAAAATATTTTTTGTAACTTTACAATATTTCTATCTAACTTTCAATTTTTTTAACATTAGTAAATGCATTAACAATAAGCCTTTTTTTTTTACAGCATTTAGTAATATTAATTAATAAAATTACAATTGTGTTAACACAACTTTTGATTTTAATAATGTATTGAAATTAAGATGAATACATTCTGTAGAAGTATTGTTCATTGTTTATTAATATAAAGTGCATTATTAATATTAAGCAATGAAACCTTATTGTTACCAAAATGTTAACAATATTTGAGAAAACTACCAGCAAGAAACGTTTTTCTAAAGCAGGAAATTGGAAAACAAAACAAACTTAAAACGCTTTGCTTGAAAACGGCTTGTGCTATCTTTCTCGCTTGAATGAAATAATGAAATAACATTCACACACAGTCTATGCTGGAGTTTCTTGCAAAGCAGCTCTATCATTATTTAAATGCTCTTCAAACATCTGTCAGGTGCTTTCCGTTTGTCACGCTCGACACTCAGCATCTGCTGTAAGGCCAGATATTTGTTCATCAGTGGTACACTGAGACTAGGGTTTTCTTGAACACCCTCCCAACTGATTAATGGTTTCAATACCAATTCAATTAAAAAAACTTTATTATCTGTCAACCAGTGATAGAAATTTGTCTTAGGTAAAAGGCTCACATGTACACAATACACAATAATAATACACAACAATACTACACAATATTAAGACACAAGATCCTGACAAAACTGTTTGGCCTTATTCAGAAACAGTAGGAATAAAATAAATACTATAAGCCTTCCTTCTAGCCAAAGGAGTTCTAAACTGACAACCTGATGGGAGTGTCTGAAAAAGGTAATGCAAAGGATGAGAGGGGTTAGTAACAATAGAAGCTGCTTTCCTCTTCACAGCACAGTTATAGAGATCTAAAAGTTTAGTCTGTGGGTACCCAATAATTTTAGATACCTGTCTGATTACTCTTGATCATTTTTTATTGTTTTCAGCTGAAAGAAAGTTAAATGAAGAAACAATGTTAAAGGTTATACTTATAACTGATTCCACAAGTGACCGATACACTGCTGTTAAAGGCACAATATGTAAGATTTTTTTATTAAAATATCCAAAAACCACTAGAACAGTGTTATATATTTTGCTGACTTGTGTACTTACATTATCCCAAATGTTTCGAAGAATGTTTAAATCCAGAGAAATAAGCAATTTTAACTAGTGACACGGACCGTGTCCATAGTGTCATTGTGTGCCTGGAAACACCAAAGACGCTTTAATATGTTGTGCGTTTTAATAGACCGGTGATGACCGCACAGAGTAGCATTATAACAGAACTTCCAAATGTATCTAGTATGATAAAACAGCGCTGCTTTCCCCCCCCCCCACCTTTGTCTCTTTGTTTATTTGGAATACGCGCCCTCTAGCGGCAAAAATTACATATTGTGCCTTTAAGATTTCCTGTTTTACATTAAAGCCCTTTAGCCTTCTCAAAAGAGATAATCACTGTTGAGCTTTCTTATAGACACTATTTGCCTGCTTTGTAAAAGATAAATGCCTGTCAATCTCAGTGCCCAAATATGTAAAGGCCTCAACCTGCTCCACTACCTGACAAGTGAATTCTAAATATCTAAGTGTCTAGTCACCGTATCCAAGAGAGTTAAGCTGGCATCCTCAACTCCCCGTTTTGACTTGTAAGCAAACTGAAGCGGGTCCAAGCACTCGGCTTCCTTGATCGTAAGCTCCCCCGCTACCCCCTTCTCCATACATTTACAGATAATTGAGGTAAGAGCCACAGGTCTAAAATTCTTCATCTCCTTGATATGAGTTTTTTTTGGAACTGGAATAATGGTTGTGTCCTTCCATACTCTCGGGACATACCCAGTGTTCAAGGACAACTGGAAGAGTTGACCCACCATCCCGCCTACTTGGGCCGAACACTCTTTAAATAAGCGGCTCAAGTCCATCCGGACGAGGAGCTTTCCTTCGCTGTAATTTGGAGAGGATGGAGACAGCCCTTCGTTCCTCCATACTGATTGGTGTAGGGGCATTACTTAAAGAGGTCATATGATGCGATTTCAATTTTTCCTTTCTCTTTGGAATGTTACAAGCTCTTGGTGCATAACGAAGATCTGTAAAGTTGCAAAGACTAAAGTCTCAAATCCAAAGAGATATTCTTTATAAAAGTTAAGAGTCAGCCACACCTACCTAAAACGGCTCGTTCTAACACGCCCCCACATACCTACGTCACTATCTGGGAAGATTTGCATAACGCCGCCCAAATGTTCACGCAAAGAAAGAAGGCGAAATCTTTTATTCTCGCTGTAGTATTGTTGCCGCCGCCGCCATGTCGTGAAGGCGCTGTGTGCTTCATTGTGAAAGCGAAACTACTTTGTTTGGCCTTCCAAAAGAGGACGATATTGCTTCGTCATGCCTGGAGCTGATCCGTGCTGGTCGCTGAGGAAATACTTCAACTTCGCACTGTCGATCGCCGGATCGTCTTTCACCGTGGATGAAGCAGAGTCCAGCCCGGGGCCGTCACATGTGGTTACCGCAGGCATCAAAATATGGTAAGGGACGTAACATTTCCGTCACACGCTTGAGGAATTCAGCCAATCACAACGCACTGGATAGATGGCCAATCAGAGCACATCTCGCGTTTCAGAAAGGCGGGGAAAAAACAATAATGTACAGTAT